AGCTATCTCCCCCTTTATCATTGTAAAAAAGAAGGGGAGAATACAATTTTGTATCTCTTTTTCCCTTTACAATAATTTTCAAATCATGACAAATGATGAATAACAAAGATGAAAAATCAAGTTATGAATGTCAAAACAATTTTTCATCATGAATATTTTATCATTGCATGCATCATTATCCTAAGTTGAAGTATTGTATGCATAATATCAAATCATCATTTATAATTACATTAATGTTTCAATCATTATTTCAATATGTTTGTGCATCATTATAGTTTCAATTTACAACATGCACAATTTTAAAACTTTACATATCATCCTTATTCTATGCATGATACTAAATATAAATCAATCATCATATCATATATGATACTCATAAGCTAGCAAATTTATATCATTTTAGAGCATCAAAACAATATCATGAGTATATCATGCATTCATATCATCACATGAAGAATATCAAGAAGAATTAGGTGATGAGATATACTTTAAGAATACAAGGAATTATACAAAGCCAAAAAATCATATCATGAGATCATGTGAATACCAAAAGACATGATTCATTTAGTAAATCTTTTCTTTAAATAAAATACTAAGAAAAAATCATAGGAGTACAAAGAAGAGGTATTGATTCAAAAAATCTCAAGTAATTCCAATAAACCAAGATCATGATTTTGATAAAACTCATTCAAATTCAAATCATCAAAATCTCAACATTTCTTTCAAGAGATTCAAAATGGCATAAATAATTTTATTGATCTCTTTGTGAAAAATCGATAAGGTGGGGATTGAGAAATTTTCAAAAAAAATACTTTCCTCTTTTTATATCAACTTATTGATTGATTTCATACATGCATGTTCTTTTCTTTTATGCCAAATCCATGCATCATTCATTAACACCGAAAAAGAACTCTCAAAAGATCGCAAAAATTATCATGCATAAGTTCGAAATATAAACTTGTTAAGCATGCTTTCAAATCATCATTACATTTTCATTAAGACATCAAGCATGGTTTCGTTGAACATAATGTTGAATGATTCTTAAAGATATCTAAACTTCTTTAGTTTCAATTTGTGTGATTGACTTTATATTAGCATGCATAAATATTTGTTCTTATGTCAAACCATGCATCATGTTAGGATCGAAAAGTAGATTTCGTCATAAAAACCATCAAAACCAAAAAAGTATAACACATTAAACATAAGGTTTCTTTAAACAAGAGATTTGGTTCATTATTTTAATTCCAAAGATAATATATTTTTCTTTTTGTGTTTCATTTTAAGTGATTGATTTTATATAAGTATGATCAAGTTTTTCGTATGAAAACATACATCATAGTTTAAAATCGAAAGAGCAAATCTCATCATGAAAGTCATCAAGATCAAATCATCATTTCTTCAAATCATCATGCTTAATTAAATATAAAATCGTCAAGCATGATACTTACATTATTTCATATAAGCATGCATTTATCATTTATGCCAAATCAAGACATGTATCTTTTTTAAAACCGAAAAAACCACTTTCATTATGGTAAAAATCGATAATCCATAAATCGTAAGAATCACCATGTATAATTTCGAAAGATAAACTCATTAAGCATAATATTACTTCAAATCAAACATGATTTCATAAGATATTTTTAATCAAAATCATTTTGTTTGTTTGTCATAAAATATGTAATTTTCATGATTATTTTTAAAATCACTAAAAAGGTAAGCATGATCCAATTTTATTTTTATATTTTTATTAAATATGTAATTAAAAAATATATATAATTTTCTAAGCTAATTTAAGAATAACTTATGAAAAATATTATGTAATTTTGAAATAAATTAAAGGAGTTTTGTTTGAGTTGTTTACCTCATTGTCGAATGCCGTTAAGGCGTAGTTTGTCATCTCGCCTTTGTTGATTTTCTCCTCGCCTTCGGAGGAGCTCGATTCATCCCAAAGTGCTTCCCTCTTCTTGCGTTCAGAACAAGTAGTTACATTCTTTTTAAGTTTATTTTTGTTCTTTAATTCTTGTTTCATGAACTTTTTAAATTTCATAGTGATGAGTTCAAGTTCACCATCACTTGAGCTTATGCTCGAGTGGTCTTCTTAGTCCAAAATCCTTCCTATTCTTTGGAAGGTTGTTCTTAAGTTCATTTTGTACCACATATGCCATAAAACTCATTTCATAGGTCATTAAAGACCCAATTAGTTCTTCGAGTGGAAAATTATTAAGATCTTTTGCCTCTTGTATTGCGGTTATTTTCGAATCCCAAGTTTTAGAAAGTGAGCGTAAAATTTTGTTCACAAGTTTAAGGTTTGAAAAGCATTTGCTAAAAGCTTTTAAACCATTAACGACATCCGTAAAACGGGTGTACATGTAAACAATGGTTTCACTTGGCTTCATTCGAAAAAGTTCAAAATCATGTATTAAAAGATTTATTTTAGAATCTTTTACTCTATTAGTGCCTTCGTGTGTGGTTTCAAGAATGTGTCAAATATCGAAAGACATTTCGCATATAGAAACACGATTAAATTCATTTTTATCTAATGCACAAAACAAAGCATTTATAGTTTTCGCATTTAAAGAAAAAGTCTTCTCCAAATCATTCTAATGGTTCATTGGAAGAGAAGATCTTCGAAAACCGCTTTCGACAATATTCCATAAGTTCAAATCCAAAGAAAGCAAGAAAACTCTCATTCGAGTTTTTCAATATATGTAGTCCATCCCATTGAACAAGGGAGGACGAATGAGAGAGTGACCCTCTTAAAAGCCGAAATGAGCCATTTCTCTTAGGTGTTAAACCAAATGAGAAATACAAGGCTCTGATACCAACTGTTAGGAATGAGTCGACACTAAGAGGGGGGGGGGTCAATTAGTGCAGCGGTAAAATTATCGGTTTCGGAAAATTCTTCGTACGTTAAAACCGAGTTCGGAAAGATAGCTTGAAATTGAAAGCGTACGGAAGCGTGTAATGGATATAATGCAAGTAAGAGTAAGGAAGGGCAGTTTACAGTAAATATAAATTGCAAGAAGTAAATACAAACCGAGTTATAGTTATTCGGTCGTCGTGACCTACATCCACTCCATCGATTCCTCTTCCGTCGAGGCCACCGGCATCCACTAACGATCTTCCTTTGATAGGCGAAGATCAACCTCCTTCTTACAACTCTATTCTCCTTTTACAGGCTCACGAGAGAACCTTTACACCCCCTTTTTACAAAGCTTCCCTCACACTCTCCCTTAGAATGATCTTAAAACTTTAGGAGGAGGGACTCTATACTTTACAAGGGATTTCAACTCTAAAAACACAGAGTTTTTGTTCACTTTTCTTGTTGTTCTATGCAGGAATAGCTAGGGTATTTATAGACTCCAAATGGCTTCAAAAATGGAGCCAAAATTTAAATCCCCCGAAATTTCAGGGTACGGGCGGTACCACCACCTGCACTGGGTGGTACCACCGCCTAGAAGACTGTGTCTAGGCAGTACCACCGCCCAGACTGGCGGTACCATCGCCTGACATAATCTCGGAGACTGTGCCACAACGGTTTCACCTGTTTGGTCACTGTTTGGGCCTTTCTCTTGGCCCAACATAGCCCAAACTTGGAACCAACTATCCCCTAATTCGGTTGGCCCAATTATAATCTCAATTATGTGCTAACTACGAATTTTAAGGCATACAATAAGCTAAATAAGTCTGGTTTCTTCCTGCGAGCTTCCGGCGAACTTCCGACGATCTCTCGGCAATGTTCCAGCGAACTCCCGGCAAGCTCCTGGACTTCACGACGATCTTCTTGGCGAGTTCCGACGAGCTTCTTTGGCAAGCTCCTGGACTTCTCGGTTGGTTCCGACAGAACTTTCGACAAACATTCGGACTTTTGACGAACTCTTAAACTCCCAACGAAATCTCATTCATGACTCCAGGACTTCATTTTGTTTTATGTCTTGCTATCATAGTTAATCCTGCACACATAAAAACACACTTCGATCTAGACAATTATTACTAAGCATGAATCATGTTGTCCGGCATATCATTGGTCCATCGACGCTTGGTCCGATTCTTCGACGTATCGTCCTCTCTTGTGGTCTATTGTCCAATCGGCCAGTTGTCCTCCGCAACTCCGATATCCTTGGCGCAATATCCGCTCTTCTTAGCCCGAAGCCTTCTGTCGATACGTCGACCGATCCTCCGGCCCGACGTCCAATCTTCTGACATGTTTTCCTCCGGCGCAACATGATTCTTCCTACTTTAATTGTCTCTCACTAATCAAATCATAAATACTACCAATTGGTTTCATCATCAAAATCCGAGATTCAACAGTCTGTACATTTGGCTTCTTTTTCAGTTTTTCTTTCTCCAAGCTTTCCTGCTTGAGGGGTTGATTGGCTGATTGCTGAAACTGCATCTTTTAAGAATAAAGAACACCTAGAACCAATTGGCAGGATATCTCCTTCTTTTTGTGGGCTGTCCAACGTGCACTACTTTGCTTGTGGTTTGTGCTTATGTTGTTCAAATGACCTTTACAGATGGGGACCTCAATAGTTGATAGTGTTGCTTTTTTCTCTTTTCCTGTAAAGAGACATTCCCTTTTGCATCACGAGTGTCAGCAGTTGTTGATTTTCTTATCCACTCTCTGTTGCTAAAGTTTAGTTTCAACTTGTCTCATTTATAACTTGCAGAAGTTAGAAGATGATTTGAAACACTGAAGAAGCCGGAGAAGGAACGGAAGCAAGTTGATCGATATGAGGTTGTTTCATGTTGCATTGCATGCTTCTGCTGCATGTCTCGGGTTCTAGTTCTTTATATCAACCATCTGGATTGCAGTACGAGGAATACTGCATTCCGATGAAACAATCAAATCAGAGACTGCTGGCACCAAAAGAAGGTGATTCCTCGAGTTACTGGAGCCTTTGGATTCACAAACTTGTTCATCTCCTGTTATCAGGTAGTATTTGCAATTTGATTCTTTCTATAGAGATATGAACTCAACTCATTGGATTCTAGTACCACCATTTTCTACTTGACATGCAGCTGCTTCATAGTCCATGCTGACAGAGGTGATGTATAATGACACAGTCTCTGGTCTTTAGGTTTCTTTTTATGTAATTCCTGCCAAGCAATCTAGAGTTTACAACCCGTATTCAAATATGTCGAGTGAATGACTAGTGGTATGAACGCACACTTGCCACTTGCCATCCACGAACCATGATTGAATAGGGATATCATCATCGGATATCTTTTAGATTATAAAAGTTCTATTCGATTGTTGTTAAATGAAGGATGCTTTATGGATCTCAATATTAGAAAGTTCAGAAATTTTATACATATAGTGCTATCTTGTCTCGATTTTGTTTTGTAGATCAATTTTACACCAATAGACTTTTCATCTTAGGGTAAATCAACCAACTCGCAAGTTTGATTCTTTTCAATGAGGTTGATCTCCTCTTGCATCGTTTTCCATCACTTTTCATCATGTGACGCCTCTTCAAAGCTGATTGGATCACCATATACAAACGGAGCAAAGTGAATTAGCATATTATCAGTTTCTTCTTAGGCATTTATAAAATCATGAAGATTAGTACCATAATCGTTCATTCATTCTGATTGTCTTTTAATTCTTTCAAAAGTTGTATAGGAGTTGATGTTGATAGCGATGTTGAAGATTTTTCTGAAATTGATAGGTTTAAAGAATCTTTAGCTGGAGAAGGGTATCCTCCTGATGTATTGGGCTCCTCTATTATTTGTTCATTTGCATCTTCTCTAACTACATCATATTGGAATATAATTAAAATTTGTGATTAGATATAATTTTATGATTGGATATGATTTTGATTTAGGAATTAAGATAAGAGTCCCTATTATAGCTGGAGAAGATCTTATATAATGTTTTAAGCATACAATTTTAAATAGAGATGGATGAGACTCGGATATTTTGGGTTTATGAGATTATACGTTTTCATGTTTAGTTTTTAGTTTTTCTTTTCTGAAAATTTTGTATTCTTCTCGATACTTTCTTCACTGATTTTTTTGATGCCTATTATTTTCATAAGAGATTTCCTAACATAGTATCTATCAATCAAGCCTTTTTACCTCTAACATTAGGCCTCAGGTATTATGTGATCTCTGACTTCTGGGGTTATCATGTGGTTCTTTCTGTTTGAAGCTTGGACATGTTAATGTGGCTTGGCCTTTCAGCTGTTCCAATCGATCGACTTATTGCAGATATTTGCTATTGGTCAAAGTAGAGTACAAAGATGTCGATTCTTTCAAGGGGCAATTTATATCTCATCAAGAGTGGAGAAGTCTGCGACTCCAGTGATCATCACCCACCCCCATTCATGCATGTGGAACAATGGGACGGTAGACTTTATCGTTCCTGAGGAAGCGGTCGGTCAAGCACCGAACCAAATCTTTGCGGCTCTGCTGTTGCTCCGCCGACATGCTGACCGGGATACGGACATGGGAAGGGTCAACCCGACCGAGTCCGGGCGATGAGTCGGATTCGGGTATGGTCTACTTTTGCCTGCTTCCGTGTCAACAAGCAATTACGTGGTATCTTCGACCCGCTACGGCTGCTGCGTGTTCAGGAGACGTACCAAGTGAATGATGCCATAATATGTCATATGTTCTCGCTTACGTAATATAGACGCCACGGTGGGTGTCACTTATGCGACGTCGATACGTGAACAAAACGGGTGCGTTCCATATTGCTGCTACCGAATCGATCCAATCCGAGCTCGCGACTCGTCCGAGTCAACGTAGATCTAACTCAGTTTCTCCGTCGTGATTTGGTCTCCCACGTCCACCTTCTTTTCCATGGATACAAAGACAGCGTCTTGTGGGAACGCCAGAAAACTTTTGTTGATGCTTCTCCCCACTTGCCCCCGTCTCATCTCCTTCATTACGATGTCGGTAAACCACCGCGGCCGGCCGGAATCACCCTCCCATTCACACAACTTGAGGAGGGAATTCTACCACCAAGCGCTTCTAGAACAACGTAGCCTTCTCAAAAAATGTAGATGTCAAGCACTAGTGGAAATTTCATCCGGTTATCGGATGATCTCCTCCTTTCCCTCTTCGGACCGTCGTTTGGTCGACGAGACTTGCACCACCGGCGCAAGTCAAATTTACAGTGGGAACTGGTTGAACCGATTCGGCGTCAAGAGCATCTCCCGAAGTGACAACATCGATGTAGAATTCTGCCATTGACGTGAGCTTGATCGCGTTTGTAATCTTCGCCGTATCAAGGAGTTCGAATACGTAGAAGCAGCGCGAGAGCTCCTCTTCCTCAGCTACAGCCATCGGCATGAACATAAGCGACTTACTTTTGCTTGTATGGATGGGGCTCTCATCATCATGAGATTTCAATCAGAATACAAGCTGGTAGAACAGTAGGTAGTGTGAGAGGAACCCAAAAGATGGGGCTTTGGATCTTCTGACATGTATATATACCGAGCAGGTCTTTAAAGGTTGAATCAATTCCTTTAGCTGCTATCACTATCTTTATTTTTCCAAAAGACACCTTCAGTTTCCCTCAAAATAAGAAAAGACACTATGAGGAACTATTGCGCACCCCTGAAAACTCCATAGCTTCTGTTCTTCTGATTCCAAGCATCAGCTACTGACTGTTTTTCTCCTATGAAATGGAAAATGATCTCCGACATTATAGTATCTACCAATGTGTGCTACTCTGCATTGAGTCTATGAGTACAGGACATACATGAAGCCTTTTTACAGTGTGGAATTTCTCTCGTTAAGTAGGAAGAGAGAGAGAGAGAGATGTGACATTTTGAAGCAATGCTCCAATCGTTCCTTTCTCTCTCGATGCATGACACGATCAAGCTTCTTTTGAGTCCTGTAACTACTTCTTTTGCAGGTTGGATCTTCCAGGTTTTTGCTTTGGTCTCGCTTTCCTTAGGATCCAAAGCCAGGCCAATGAAAGAAGGGAGACTATGACTGTTCATGAATTGATACCAAGACGGCACTCATCTAAAGGCCAGCTCAAAGCAAGTCCTCATCTAAAAGCATATTGGGGAAACAAAAGGCTGCATGAAAAGCAACATAAAGATGGCCAAAAATGAGCCTCATCCCACTAGAGTTCAAAGTACATTTGAGCCTTTGGCATACCTTTGCGAAAGTACAGTCTCAAAGACAAGCCGGTCTACACACAACCAACTCCAGCAACAGGAACAGTAATGTGGCCACCGGAGGAGGAGGCCAATCTCATTGATGGAGTCATCTTACCATCATCCCCACCCTAAACCCCACGAGTATCAAATGGAGAACAGACAAATGGTCGTTTCGACGACTTGATCCAAACGAGATGGTCCACTATGGCCAACCGCCCGTTCTTGAACATCTCCCAGGTTTTTGGATTTGCTCAGAGCGATCTTACCATGTCGTCTTCCGGCTACAGGAAGAGCCGAGAAGACGACAGTCAAATCTCCTACATGGCATGTTAATTACCGGAAACGATGAAGATTTATTTAGTGATTCCTTCCGACCTCGGCAAGGCGCATGTCATGCATTCTCTTTAGCTCCACGCGTGTTACCGCATCATTTCGGCATGTTTCAGCCAGGATATGCCTGCAGAGAAATCTACACGAAGAGATGCCACAAATAGATCACAGTTATGATGGCATGCAAATCTACCGCGCGGCATTACTCATGACCGTCGGAAGGCGTTCGGCTTGCTTCCACCGGTGGTGTGAGTGTGGCGTGCTGGGATCTATCACAGCAGACGACGACAATTCTGATGAGCCTCTAAAGTCCAAGGCTAATCTAGAGAGATCAATGGTACGCGTTCTCATCAGAGAAGAGGTAATGTAAATAGGTCATGTAAATAAAGGGTGTTGGACTTCCGCTCACGGTCTTAGAAAATTAGAAGCATCAACACCTGTTCAAGCGGACAGAGCCCGGTATCTCGGTTAAGACATCCAGATTGATTGGTGCATCGTTGCAATACAAGGTTAGGTTTCATGTCCAAGTCTACATGTGAATCGTAATATATGTCATTCAATGGAGTGGAAATATATTCCAATTAATTAAAAAGAAGGAAAAAAAGAAGTCAATGGACAACCGCTTATATAAACGTGCCATGCCTCGCCCTCCTCTCTCCATTCCCACCGAGGAACGAGGAAGCGGTGGGTGCCGCTGCCTGCAGGCCGAACGGCCTCTTCTGTGGCGACAAACATCTCCTTCCAACATAAAGCTTAACAAAGCCTTCCTACTCCCGCTTATTTTTAACTTAAAACCCATACCAAAATCCTTTCTTCTTTGCTCTGCTTCTTCTTCTTCTTCTTCTTCTTTACAACAAGAAGCTCACCATGTGTAACGGGGCTATCCCCGGTTCTGCTGCACGATGCCAATGCGACCACCACGATGAGCCGCATGGCCTACTCACCGCACCCCTGGTGGTGGTCGAGAAGCCGGTGGCGAAGACCCAAGCAGAGGTGGCACCGGCGCCGGTCCTGACGCCGAAGCCTCTCGGCTCGGTGTCCCTGGGGCTTGTGGAAGCTACGTCCGTCTTAAGCATCGCGCTGCCCATGGTCCTCACTGGGCTGCTTCTCTACTGCCGTTCCATGGTTTCCATGCTCTTCCTCGGCCGGCTCGGTGATCTCGCCCTCGCCGGTGGCTCCTTGGCCATCGGTTTCGCCAACATCACCGGTTACTCCGTCCTCTCTGGTCTGGCGATGGGCATGGAGCCTATCTGCGGTCAGGCTTTCGGTGCGCAGCGCCACCGACTCCTTGGCCTCGCTCTCCACCGGACCGTTCTCCTCCTCCTCTCTGCCTCTGTCCCCATCGCCCTCCTATGGTATTACATCCGTCCTCTGCTCCTCCTCGTCGGCCAGGAGCCAGCTCTTGCCGCCGCCGCAAGTTCTTACCTCCACGCCTGCCTTCCTGACCTTCTCCTACAGTCGTTTCTCCACCCTCTCCGCATTTACCTCAGGACCCAGTCCATCACGCTCCCGTTGACTGTGTGCGCGGGGCTCGCCGTCGTCCTCCACCTACCCATCAACTACCTCTTGGTCTCAGTTCTCCGCCTTGGCATCGGCGGCGTCGCCTTGGCCTCTGTTCTGTTTAACTTCAACGTGGTAGTGTTTCTTATTGGTTACGTCTACTTCTCCGGTATCCACCGTAGCACCGGTGGACTCAGCTTCAGCTCCGAGTGCCTTAAAGAATGGAGGTCGCTTCTGAACCTCGCCGTCCCCAGCTGCATCTCGGTGTGCCTGGAATGGTGGTGGTACGAGATCATGATCATCTTGTGTGGTCTTCTCTTAAACCCACAGGTCACTGTTGCTTCCATGGGCATTCTGATCCAGACCACCTCACTCCTCTACATTTTCCCATCGTCTCTAAGCTTTGGCGTGTCGACACGGGTCGGCAACGAGCTCGGCGCGAATCGTCCCGACAGAGCGCAGCGGGCCGCAACCGCCGGGTTGTCATGCAGTTTCGTTGTCGGCCTCCTCGCGTTGGGATTCGCTTTCTCGGTGCGCCACGTGTGGGCCAGGATGTTCACCGGCGACCCAGCTATCCTCGATCTCACCGCGTCGGTGCTACCGATCCTTGGCCTGTGCGAGCTCGGAAACTGCCCGCAGACCACCGGGTGCGGGGTGTTGAGAGGAAGCGCCCGACCCAAGCTCGGCGCGGACATAAACTTGGGCTCATTCTACGCCGTCGGCATGCCGGTAGCTGTCGGGCTGGCGTTCTGGACGCCGCTCGACTTCAGGGGCCTCTGGCTGGGGCTGCTCTCGGCGCAGGCCACCTGCGTCGTGTTAATGCTCGTCACCATCGACAGCACCGATTGGGATGCGCAGGCCGAGCGGGCGCAGCTGCTCACCGGCGCTGCCATCGACGAGGACTACAAAGAATCATTGCCAAAGACTAATAATCCAACAGGAGGAGACGACACTGATGTCATCGTAAAGATTGAGCGATGAGTCGCCCCCCCATCGTTCCTTTTTTTCCTCTTTTCTCCAATTTTCGTCTTTTTCCTGATGTAACGAAAAACAAAACTACAGAGCACGCAGTATTTTTAGGTTGCATGTGAGATTGTACACTATTTTTATGAGATTCGGCAATTCTTCATCCATCTCTGGCCGTCAACATGTAACCCTGGAGAGCCGGCAGCGTCGAAGACTCGATCAACCGGCCTTGGTTGTACCAACCGGTCCTCCAACACCGCCATTTGGGTTGATTTGGCTTGTCTCATGTCAACGGTTTGACTCATAGACCCGGTCAACCAATGCTGGTATTTTCTTCGGCCGGTAGGCCCCGCGTAACACCGGAACTTTCTTCTGTCCCATTCGATCCAGGTTGAAGTCGTCGCTCTTGCGTTTGATTTGGCATCGTGTTGGGGGTGGGGAGGGGAGGGGGTACGAGTCTGGCCTCAGCTTCGCATGACGCAACACACGCTGAGAGGATCCGTTGCATTTCTTCCTCGTTAGTCATTGCCAAGGAAGAAAACCATGGCAGATAGCCAGGTGGACTTTGCAGGTCTACGAGGCGGCACTGTTGATTTGCTTTCAAGCAAACCGTACGAATATGATTGGCCCAGTCTTTCAACCACAGCAAATTATATCTGGATAATGCCAACCCCCTCCGCCACTGAGATGGTAGGTATTCCAGACCTCCAAGGGCCATCGACGGGCGCAGGAAGAGACTATGATGCGGAATCTCGAACGTGATCTCAGAGTAATATAAAGAAACGATTCCATTTCTTAATGCTCAAAGCTGGCCATCACTGATACCACTCGCGGCGTCGTCGTATCCGTAACAAATACGTGGATTAATGGCGATACAGATTTATTTTAGCGCAGCTCATCCAATCATAGCCGTGCTGAGGTCAGAACGCATCATCATCCATTAGTTCTTGCGTTGATTTTAGATTCAGTGGCGGCTACCTTTCGATTGTTATAATGCTTCAGATCGGATGGATAAACTTGAGAATCTGAAGCCACAAGTAATCATATTACATAGTGCAGACTATAACGCTAAACTAAGCTCGGTCGGCGCATGGCGAAACAGGTAACGTTGGTGATCGAAGAACAAGTTCTATGTCAAGGCCGGCACAGCGTGGTCAAAGGACCTGCACGGTTACTTCTCCGTGTCACTCACTGCACTCCTTTTGACAACCCAGAGTGCAAGGGAAGCATATGACGCTTCTGATCCCAAGTCGCCCTCTTGATTGGAGAAGAAGGGACGCAGGAGACAAAAGAGGCGATTCGGGGGCGTGTTCTGATCTCGGCCTGCATGCGGCCATGGATCTACCTTCATATCCTCCACTTGGCGCTCGTTTTGGCAGCAGTCAACGCTCGAAGTCCGGCACGATCTCGACCCGAAAGCCTTATCAAACTCGTTATCCTTTGGCCATCAGTACCGAACGATCGAGGAGGGGAGGGGGGATCGGGTGATGACCGCTCGACATCAACAGCTGGCTCTCAACGACGCCCGGCTCGCTGCTCCGCGCCCATTCGAGCACGCAGAATATACTAACGCCTGGTAGCTGCTTAAAGTAATCCGCCTGCTTCCTATCGATCGAACATCGAGGATCGCTGACTTCACCATTCGATTAAGATCTCGTCGTCTCTGGATTGCGTTGAAGCTTTCTCGGTAATACATGTCCAAGGATTGCTTTGTTTTTGTCTCTTTATTACGCCAGCATTTGCATTCTCAACGGCGACATGCACATGAAAGAGAAGAGGATAACTCATACCTTCGAACGCAACAAGCATGTTGTTCTACGTGTTCTTTGACTTTTTCCCCGAGAGACATAGCTATTGCATGGCTGCTGAAGAGAGAAAGATTTCTGGGCAAGCGCAAAATGTGATGTGAAAGACTCCCTATAAATCCAACCGAGATGTTCACTCGAGGAGTTTTATTTGGTCGGAAACGGGACGTGCCAAATGACTCTCTGATTCTTAAAGTCCTTTTTATTGATATTTATTTTATAATCATCATCGATTACATAAGACTAAGTTCGTGCGAACGGTGTCATGCTAACACAATATGTTTATGCATAGTTGACACATCAACATTCTTTAATTGATCAAACACTATGTGTCGATTTCAGATTTACGATGATTATAACTATTGTGTCGATGACCGATATCACTGTATTGCCAATCCATCGTATTGCTAATCCACGGATTAGCAATATCGAGAACTAAAATGAAAAATGAAGTTATCGGTGAACAACAATTGACTTTGGTAATAAGCTCGATAGGAGGTTTGGCCCAAAGAAATATTTTATGATATGAATAGAATATTTTCTTTTGGGGTTCATCATTATCCTTATTCAGATCTCACCCCTCATGTTGATCGATCAATCATGTGACGAGTTATGATTGGAGTAAAATTTTCTCCTATCACACATCAATTTAAATGAAATATTTGTATATATAAATATTTTTATTTTGTTTTATTTTAAGGAAAATATTTATTTATTTATTTATTACTAAAAGGAAGCGATGGATTTGGTAGCTCACATTTGAGTGAGTAGAGTTCGTGGCGGTGACGGCGGGATGATGCACGTGGGCGCCCCCCTATCCGCCCCTTTCTCTCTCGGCGCCTCGTCTCCTCGCGCTCGTCGCCGCGCTTCTCTTCTCCCCAAACTCACTCGCCGGCGCTCAATCAGTGAGTCTTCTTCCTCTGCTCCAATTCGTTTGTGTTGTCGATCGCTGGCTTCGTTGATGGATCGAAGCCCTAGTCGATTAGCTCGTACTTTCCACGTGACCTCGTGCAAATTCTTTTCTTTCCCTCCGGATACTTGTAGTTGATGTCCTCGCCCATCTTCTTCGGCAAATTTCGACTGCGCGATTGCATAAAAATGATCGCTATCGATGCCTGTTGGCTTCAATAAATACATTCGCTAATGTTCTATATCACAACTATCTCAATTGTAGAGACAACTTGTATGTATTTTTGCTACACGATAATGCTGCCTTGTCGATACTTTTGGCAACAAGAAAACAACTTTGGAACACACATCTTTATGACACCTCTTATGAACCACTTGGCAATCTCACTATATCACAATAGATTTTGATGTTAACTATGAATTTATGTATCTTCTTATGAATTATGATTATATGTCATGCTAAAAGGTATGTGTCAACATACCTTTGCTTGTCACTGTTATCTAATGCTAACAAATTGTGGTCTCAAATTTCATGCTTGTTATTAGCTCCAAATTAGTTGGTGATTAACTACGCTAAGGAATTATTATCACAAATCACATTGTTATCACACTTTTGCCTGCAGTTTTCTTCAGTAGTATGACAACATAAAATTTATAGTTTAACCCACACCTTGCTTATATTTTCTACTTGATGTGTCCGCTCTATGTATGTTCTTCCTGTGAAGGTTTTTGTAAAATTTTTCACTCTGTTCTCAACTGTCAGTGGCATCCATGGGAGATGATCCAATTCGGGAATGGATTCTTACAGAAGGAAAGGCTACACAGATTACAAGAATCAGTCCCATTGGTGGTGGTTGCATTAATCATGCAAGCCGATATGACACTGATTCTGGTTCCTTCTTTGTGAAGACAAACAGGCATGCCACTTCATTGAAATTGTTCTAGGGTCAATTTGCATACTCTAATATCTTTTGCTATCTCATTGTGAGTATGTTCGTCGTACCATATAACAAAGTTGCACATAGTTTTATTAATGAAGTACTGGTGAAAATGTATGAAAACATTATGTGTCTCTTGGATTGTTTGCTTCTTACAGTGTGCCCATCTTATTGGATGATATGCAGCCAATCCTTATTAGTCTGTAAAGTATTTCCATTATTTATAAATGGCTACTAAAATTCTAATTGTGTAAGTTTGAATATAATGTATGTGCAACCAACAGTTTCTCCATATCCATTAAGTCATTGAAGATCTACCCTACTGAATATAATTAAAGTCTTTTTGGTTGGTAATTTTCTAGTGTTTCTACTTATTAGTTTTACTGCTTATGGAGCATTGTCTTTATGGTTGACACGCATAGCTTATCATACATGTTCTATGATCTCTTTTGTGGCAAAACAAGATTTCTTTTCAGTTTGAGTATTGTCTTTGCATGCTTTAATTAAGCTAACCTTTTATTTCTGTTACGTCTCAGAAGAATCGGACCATCAATGTTTGAAGCAGAGTCCCTTGGTTTGAGTGCAATGTATGCCACCCAATCAATTCGTGTTCCTATGCCATATAAGGTAGTAAGCCTGTGTCCTTACCCCTTCTTATTTTTGAAGTGCCTTTAGTGGGGAATGGAAACAATATCTTCTAATGTGTAGGTTGGACCTTTACCAACAGGTGGTTCTTTTATTATTATGGAATTTATTGAATTTGGGCCTTCCAGGGGAAGTCAGGTGACACTAATATTATACAGTACTTTACCAAATAGTTTTTATTCTCAGCGCTGTTTAACCAAATATCTTTCTTCAGTCAGTGTTAGGAAGAAAGCTTGCAGAAATGCATCAAGCGGGAAAATCTAGTAAGGGTTTTGGTTTTGATATTGACAACACTATTGGCAGGTGAATTTTCCTTGAACGTTCTTTGTCTGAAATCAACTTTCCTCGTGACTTTTGCTATCCGAGTGAATGAAATTGCATATGTACAAAAAGTTGTTTCTTTGAAATCTGTGAGGTTCTCTTGGGTTAATCTTCTATGTTGTGTGTTCAAGGCAGGAACAGCTGTGCTTCTCTTCCTTCACTGTTTTTCTGTCTCCCCATCATGTTTACATGTTATATTTCTGCTGTTCCGTTACTTTGTTGTACGGATAAATTCTTGATTACAATGTTCTGATATTTTTAATTGCCATGCTGCAGTACTCCCCAGATAAACAGTTGGTCTTCAGATTGGATTGAATTTTTTTCCGAGCATAGATTGGGGTACCAACTAAAGTTAGCATTAGACCAATATGGGGACTCAGCAATATACGAAAAAGGTATCGTGGTGTTAAAAACCACATTATGCCAATTATTCTTGGTGTTAGCGATATTATACGCTCCACTAAGTATTCAGCCTCAGAGAGTAGACAAAATATTCTGTATTGTTACATGACATGCATTTTATATATGTTTGTTTTACTGAATGGTGATACATCAACATTAGAAGCTAATGGATGGAATAACTTGGTTGAAGTTTCATGTGGATGCACTTTTAGTAATTTAATTGCTTAAGTCTGGTGATGATAAGTATATCCATGTTAGAAGTTCTTGTTATGTTTCTTGACTTTCATTAGAGTGGGCTGCAATTAAGGGTTAGACAAATCTTGCCATTGGTAAAAAGGAACTTTGCCTGATGCAATTGAAGGTATCAAGGATTTGGTAACAAGGATGTAAAAGGGGATACAAGAATAATGATATAAACCTCATATTGGATAATTTTCTAGGTTGACATCTGCATTCACGTTGACTTACTACATGTGATTTTCTGCCATTTGCTTAATCATGTCAAGTGCATTTATAAATTTAAGTGAATATTGTGTTGGAAGTTCTCCACTGAAAAATCTACGAGTTCAGTTCCAGTCCTCTTCAGTAGTCTTGATCAGAAGCCTTGCCCCACTGTGAAAAATCTACGAATATTCCATCATTAGAGAACTTCCTAATGTCCATCCATCAGTTTGAGATCTTTGATCAGAAGACTTGCCCCACCAGTTGAATTTGAAAAATCTTTGCAATGTAGTCTTTGAATTGTTTTTTCACCCTTTTTCATTGGTGATCTTAGGAGAAGTGTTAAATATGTTGTTTGTCTTTCCAAATTAACAGGTCAAAGATTGATGAAAAATCTGCAACCACTTTTTGAAGGAGTTGTCATTGAGCCATGCTTACTCCATGGAGACCTGTGGAGTGGTAATATCAGCTCTGACAAGAATGGGGATCCTGTTATATTGGATCCAGCATGTTACTGTGAGTTCAAAGTTTCATAAAACATCATAGTTTATCATAATTTCTTATTATTATTTGTTTCAATTTGTAGGGCCTCAATGTGATAGATATTTAAGTATGTGTTATCTTTTTCCAGAAAGTGCTTATACCAAAAATCTTAGTCAAAACAAATTGTACGAGCATAAGAATAATTACCCAAGTAAAATAAAGGACAACTAGTAAATAAAGTTCTATTTAATTGCAGATGGTCACCCTGAGGCAGAATTTGGAATGTCATGGTGTGCAGGATTTGGAGGAGCCTTCTATTCGTCCTACTTTGAGGTTCCATTCTCTCTCTCTCCACAAAGATCAAACAGGAATAAATAGAATTTTCAACACTGCAAACTGAAACATCTACTGAAGTTTTTATACAGTGATTTTGCATGCGTGGTGATAGTTATGCATAAGTTCATCACGTGGCGTTGCCTTGGTGGTTGTTTAGTTGCAGATATCGACGAATAATTACCATATTAGATGTTACAAAGGTGGTCTGAAAAGCAACATCCATTTATGTTGGTCATTTCTGCATGTCAGTAGTCTTTTGTCAGAGATGCATGAAATGTTGAGTTACCTCATGGTGATGCCCACAGATGGTATCTTCCTATTACTGCTAGTTAAGTACCTATCGCAGAGAACAGAAATATGAAAAGAACTAACTAATTGCAGGAGCATGGAACTTTGCATGATTTGGTAATGGAGGAGCCACATTTCCTTTTTCTTTTCATGAAGTTGTAGTGGGTACGGTTGTAGCATTTCTCTTGACTGCTTTGAACAAACTCGTTCAGGTGATGCCAAAACAGCCAGGCTTCGAGAAGAGGAGGGATCTCTACATGCTCTACCATTACTTGAATCACTACAATCTATTTGGTTCCGGGTATCGCTCATCAGCTATGTCGATCATAGATGACTACTTGAGGATGCTCGAAGTGTAGATTCTCCCACTGAACCATGGAACCTGTGCTTGGAATTCAGTCTATTAGAAACCCACAGCTGCTTGTAAATTCCGCTGTAATTGAAGTGTAGATTCTTTGGCCACCACGCCACTAGGATTGTTGTGTTGTTCACGAAGGAATTGTTCCGTGTGCAAACACTCAAGATTGTGAAGCTAATTTTCTTATCAAATATAATTGCTTCTCACGAATTTGTTTTCTGGCTTTCTGTCATCTCATGCTTTACGTATTTTAAATCAAAGCC